TAAAATATCGCCGAAATGTTTTAGCAAGGCAGAAAAAACGTGCACACTAAACTTTTTACCCTGCGGGATACCTGCACCCAAGGACAGAGCTCGAGAAAGGACCCCTCCCAACATAATGGAAGCTGAGTCCATTTTGAGGAAATCGTCTACAAGCCTCCACTCGACCTCAACCACCCCGGACAAGAAAGCAGCAAGGAGCATGCCATCATGACTTGCCGTGTCAAATGCATGCTGGATGTCCGAGAATAACAAAAAAGTATCAAGTCCTTGGTAGTGATGGATCTGGACATGCAGCATGACAGCCAGGATCACCAAGATGGTGTCTAGTTTACCGCCCACTTGGCGATGACCGGTGTAGGTCTCAAGTTGTTGCTTACACCTGGCAAGCCACAAGGCGTCCTGCACTGATGCCATGTCCGTTGTGAGGCTGATGGGACGAAGGCATTTTAACTTCCTGACGACTCTCGGCCCTTGTTTACGGAGCGGGGTGATGCGTCTGAAGCACCAGCTAGTGGCCGTGACCTCAGCAGCTCTAGCCAAGTTCACAAGAGCCAAAGTGAGTTCCCTAGCCTCAGGCACGTTAGCTTTGATTGCCGCCAGCGGGCCATGAATACATTGCTTGCGCACTTGTATCGACGACACAGCTTGCTCAAATTCAGCCGAAGAGTAAAGATTGGGATTGCTTGCCGTCGTCAATTGCGGTAGCGGCGGCAGGCCAGGCAGTCCACTAGCAGGGGCCTTAGCCCTTCTAACACCCTGAACCGCCTCACTAACCCAACAGGACTCGGCCGAAACTTGCTCATCATGCACATCTGCACGGGCCTCCAAATCTTCAACTAGCGCCTGCAGGGCCTGCTGTGTTGACAGCAGCTGACCCGTTTCTTCATCTGTGAGGGCCACCTGGAAATTTTGTTTTCCTTTAAAGCATGTCGACAAGAACCTTTTGGCTTCATTGGGATCACAGCTTCTCAGAGCGGCAAATTTGTTGTAGACACCTTCTCGGATGCCTGCATTGAAATCAGCCATTGCCAACTTATAGGCCTCGTAATCATCAAACTCTTCAGGCCTCGGGACAGACTTCGGCCACACAGGGCTTCCGCGGTCGACTTGTCCCCTACTCGCTACTCTAGCAGAAGTGAGTTCAGAGCTGTGGCCCAGTAAGCAAACAACGGCGTCCCTGGCCCAAGCCGCCGCATCAACAATTGCTCTTCTCCTTTTGACTTGCAGTGAGCGAGCCTCTAGGATTTCTTCAGTCGCCTCTTCCGTAGCCCGGCGAAGCACTTGAAGCACCGGCAAGGCTTGAGTGAAAGCATCTTCCCACAGGCTTGGCTTGGCCCAGAGGACCCTTCCTACCGAGCACGTGAAGGAAAACTGGAGTTGCACAGAACAGTCAGCCCAGACTAGTTTGTGATCCGACAAACCTATGCTCTCCGAATCCACAAACACATTAAGAGGATTGCCAGCGTCCGACAACACCAGGTCAATGATGCTTCCCGAAGAATGCGTGGGGACAGGAGGGTTGAAAGCAAAGACATCAGCTTGTTGAAGATCAGCCTCAATTTTGGCATCATTGCGCTTCTGTGCGCAGTGCAAGCACGAGCAACGGCGGCCCTCATGCTGGACTAGATAACTCAAGTGAAGATTCGCATCACCAACTATGAAGATTTTAGCGCCAGGAAACCTCGATTTCAGGACAGCAAATTCGGTTAAGATTTGAGTCCAGGTCTCAACATCACCCCCGGGTCGCGGGTAAATGCCGCCAATAATGATTTGCGACAGGGCACCCCTTTCCTTGTTCCCAACCCAGACCCACAGGATAACATCAGAGCCCAGGTCATCGATAACCTGAACCTGACTGACAATTTCAGTAGATACGAGCATACCCACAGCTCTCCAGCTTGAGGTTTGCGTACCTAACCAGATAAAAGGTAGGCCCGGAGGCAGCGAAGCTCCTGGCGGCCACCGTGCACCAGGTAACACACAAATCTGAATGTCCCTACTTATCAACGCAGACGTGACATGCCAAACCCTCCACCACATGATTTCTTCGGTGGCCAAGGCAAGAAACCCTGTGCGCCCAGGGTTGAGTGTCGCCACCTTCAGAGAGAAGCATTCATGCTTACTGTGCTTTGCAGCAGGAACATCGCTGATGCCACCCAAAAAAGGCGAGACAACAGGGATAACCTTCCTTACCGCTGCGCGCATGTGTGGCAAGAGTTTCTGGACAAGCATCCCCTTCAATGAGGTCACTATGTTAGCTAAAGGCAACAGTCTGCGTAACCTTCCCTGACCTATATGTGCCAGGTTCGCCGGGTTTTGTGGCGCTGCATCCACAATTCCTTGGAAATCCTTGATGGCAGCACAAAGCTCCAGCCGACGTGGGCTGGTTGTCAACCAGCTCAGGACATGCATTTCAAGAGCGCCGCATGCTTGGCTGCACTCCTCAGTTGCCATTAGTCCTGAACAGGACATTCATACATAACAAGCACCACAGAAACAGGCACAAAAACAAAGACACACACTCACACACACCCACCCACCCACCCACCCACCCACCAACACACACACACACACACACACACACACACACACACCGCAACCGAGCAGACGCGCGCAAGCACACACACAGACACACACAGCAACACACCCACACACCCACACGCGCACGCACACACGCCCGCCCGCCCGCCCACCAGCACGCACGCACGCACACGCGCATCCGCGCACACGCGCACACGCACACACGCACACACGCACACGCACACGCACACGCAAAAACAAGCACACAAGCACACACACACACACAACCCACACACACACCCACGCACACACACACACCCACACACACACACACACACAGAGCACACCACCACACACACAACAAACAAACAAGACACAAACAACACACAAACAACACACAAGCAACACAGAAACAACACACACAAAAAACAAAACAAAAAACAAAAAAACGGAAACACACAGACACACACACACAAACACACAAACACCCAAACACACAAACACACACCACCACGCACACACAAGACAGAAACACCACACAACACAAGAACAGAAAAAACAAAGACACAGCAGGCGCACAGCGAGAGAGGAGGAGAAAAAAAACACACACACACACACACACACACACACAACAAGCAAAAACAACACACCCAGCAGAGGGGCCGCACACAACTTTTCATTTCAACAACGCATCCAAGAGTGCACTAAAAGAGCAAATTAGGCTGCATCCGCTCAACCTAAAGGGAGCATCTTTGCACAGGCCGAAGCGTTGAGAAAAACACAACAGCCAAACAGAATCCAAGGGCCAAGGCGCAACAGAACCTAAGCAACTAGATTTCACTGCCAGCATTTGTGATTGCCGAAACAGGTGCCCCTAAAAAGGGGACGAATTTACGAAGCACAGGATGGGAGAAGGCAGATCTTCTGCCTTTCAGTACTACATTTGCTTTCTTGGCATGCACCTGCACAGTAATCTTGTGCGTGCTGGTCCAGAAAATTGTTATGCTTGGCTGGCCCCGCTGTCCGCCCAACAGGCCCCTTGGAAATCTACAACTGTTCTCAGTAACTTTGTCACACAAATTAACACCCATGGCCCTGACACGACAGTTCAAGGCATGGGCTGTTACACTAGATGGCTGAGGGCAAAACGTCAAGGTCACATTTGCCTTAGCAGTGCCCGGTAGCTCTCCCAGCTTAGAAGCACAAGCGTCCATCGCTTCAAGAATCTGCTCAGCAGATTGTAAGACTTGAAGGTCAGTCGCCTCAACCCCGCTGCTAGTCTTAAACAAGGAAGAAGAAAGGCCAGTGCAGTCACTCTTGAGAAGGGGCCGGGCTACTGTGTTGTGAAAACAGGCTGGGGCCTCAGCGTCATGACTCTCTAGCTGGTTGGCGGCGCGATCATGAAGCGTATGTGCCAGCTGAGAAGTGTCTTTCAAGGCTTGGCTGATGGCTTTCATGATGTCAACCTTGATCTGCTCAGTAAGCTTGCTCAACTCTGCCTGCAAGTACTCATCTCTTGGGTTGATAGCTACTCTTGCCACTGCATCTCGTCCCAAACTGTTTGAGGGGTGGTTCCTCCTGGCGGGGGAAACACTCCTCAAAACAGGGCCCCCGTTACAAGGCAATGGTGAGCGGATGCGGCTATGAGAGCGCGAGCTACTGCACCGTTTCCTCCGGAAGCTTAGCGGCACATGTCGCGGACTTGCGCACACTGAGCTTGCGGGCGACGTGGGGGATTCTGCTGAGATGTCCAGATTGAGGCTTTGCTGGTGACGTTCAATCTCCAGGTTCATCACAAACTTCTCGAATGCTTCTTGGACTCTCGCATTGGGAAGTGCCATGAGCGCTAACACAGAGGCCGTAAGCCAATCTCTCAAGCAGGCTACTGCTGGAAGCTGATGCCTTTTATGGCGAAAACACAGACAGAGCAGAACCCCTTCACGGCTCAGGCAAGAACGTCTTAAAGCCAAGACAGAACAAAAAAAAACTTGCAGCAGTCCTGGCACCAGCCCTGGGCCATCCACTCATGCGATCGGCTTGGCTTCGGGCCAAGGAGATGTTAAATGCTTAAACAGACAGCCACCTAAGCAACCTAGAGGAAAAAAAAACCAGGCAGACGACAACGAGAGAGAGAGGGAGAGAAAAAAGAAAGAGAAAGAGAAAGAGAAAAAAGAGAGAGAGAGAGAGAGAGAGAGAGAACAAACGCCCGAGGCCCATTGGCATGCACCAGTTGGCTACCCTTCACTACAAGGGCCCAGTGTAGCCGCAGGTAACCACCAAGTTGAGCCAAGAACTGAAACAAGAACAGACGGACACACAAGGCCTGAAGACCCCATAGGTACGCCAAGCCAGATACACCCTTAAACCCTAAGTGGCCGCGCGGTTTAGGGTTTAGGGTTTAGGGTTTCGGGTTTAGGGTTTAGGGGCTAGGCTTTAGGGTTTAGGGTTTAGGGCGTTTCCCTCTGACTGAGTGGTGCGGCTTCCAAGCCGGAAGATGAAGTAGGTCGTCGCCTCCTCGCTCCTAACCTGCCCGGGGAGGGGTAGGGGTTGGGGGGCTGGAAGCGGTCAGCCCGGTACACAGACAGCCCAATGAGGGTTTAGGGTTTAGGGTTTAGGGTTTAGGGTTTAGGGTTTAGGGTTTAGGGTAACCTGGGGGAATGAAAGGTTAACCTTTGGGATCATCAGGGGATTCTACTACCCCAAAAAGGGTTAAAGGTTACCTACTCTACTACTGGGGACAGCCCAATGACCTTCGTCTTGGAGTGCTGCCTGAATTATGGCTGGGATCTGAAGACGCTCACAATAGGGAATCGTGAATCGGGGCGGGGAGGGGGGGAGAGGGGGGGCTGTGATAATCCCGATTAAGGACTGCTAGAAAAAGGGGGAAAATCAAACCCTAAACCCTAAACTCTAAACCCTAAACCCTCAACCCTAAACCCCACAAAGCCTATAAAACACCCGGTTTTCAGCCTCCACACGCAGATTCTCGATCTCCCACTGGTTCGGGTGCTCGGCGCAGCACTGGAAGGAGTACTCCCCCACCTCTCCTTTTAAGTTGGGCCGGGCGGAACCCAGAGGATCCCAGGATTTAGGGTTTAGGGTTTAGTAAGGTTTAGGGTTTAGGGTTTCAGGTTTAGGGTTTAGGGTTTGGGGTTTAGGGTTTAGGGCCCCAAAAGCCCCAGAATTCAAGGAAGAGAACTTTCATGAGATTGAGGATCCCTAAACCCCTAGACGCCAAAACCCAGAACCCTAAACCGGAAACCCTGTATGGTTAAGGGTTTAGGGTGCCCGGCCGAAGTCCTCCAGGACACCAGGGGTTAGGGTGTTTTAAGAGGTTTTTCGTTACCATCTGAAAACCCAGTTGGGGGTTTACGGAAACAGGGGTCCCCAATCTTGATCCCGAAATAGCAGGAGTCCCTTATACTAAGGACCCCAATCTACTATTTGCTTAAGAACCCCCAAAAGACTAAATAATACTAATCCCTAAATTACCCTTATAAGGAAGAAAATATCTTTATATATATATATATATTTTTTTTTAAGGTCACTTATTTTGTTTCATTTTTTGGGGGGGGTGCTTAAGCAATTACTAGAAATTGGGAACCCCCAGTTCAAGCAAGCCTCCCCGGAAATGTTGGGTTGGAGTGTGACTTGGAGGGAGATTGGGATTCGCACGATGAGGTCTTGCAGGTTTGAGTTTCCTAAAGCCTAAAGCCTAAACCCTAAACCCTAAACCCCAAAACCTAAACCCTAAACACTTTTGGGCTGGATGTTGACTGAGAGGTATGTGGACCTCGGAGTGCGTGCAGGCTTGAGTTGAAATACTGTGAGGCATGGACCCTCTTTATTAAGTTTCTTGGTAGCCCAGTAACCATATTCTAACAAGGGCACCCCCTTTTTTGGGGTTGGTTACTTTATAAGGTAAGGAACCTTGAACAAAAAAAACCACGCGCATGTCAGCCAGTTCTTTCCGAGACCAGCCAATCGGTGTTTCTACAACCGCTCATTTGTTTGGGCTCAGAGCCCAAAGCCAACACCCTAAACCCTAAACCCTAAACCCTAAACCCTTTTGTAAGTAGGGTTCTAGGAGTCCTAGATAAGGTTCTCACCATAGTTACCCTATTTATAGCCCTGGCTTATAAGTCCCCATGAACCTCCAAGAAGAGACCCCTAAACCCCTAAACCACGCTTTGGGGAATTAAGGGTTTAGGGTTTAGGGTTTAGGGTTTAGGGCTATAGGAGCCCTGAGCGGGCCTACGCGAAGCTTCCCAGACCATCGCCAGCGGGGACTGTCCGCGATCTGCACTCGAATCCAAAGCGGTTCCTGACAGGACTCAGCCCCAAAACCCTAAATTCTAAACCCCAAACCTGAAAGCCTAAACCTTTCATATAAAGCAGGTGAGGGACTTTAAGCCTAAACCCTAGATTCTAAACCTTCCCGCTAAGACTCGCGTTAAACGCTTGCAGGATGGGGCTTTCAGGAGCCACAGCCCTGCCTAAAAAACCCTAAACCCTAAACCCTGAACCCTAAACCCTAAACCCTAAACTTAAACCCTAAGAGCCTAAAGCAAACCTATGTCATGACCTGGAGCCCTATGACTTACAGCCCAAGGCTTCGGGCTCCGGCATCTGGAAGAGCGGCTTCGGGCTGCTCAGTGTCGGGTTTAGGGTTTAGGGTTTAGGGTTTAGGGTTTAGGGTTTAGGGTTTAGGGTTTAGGGTTTAGGGCACGCGGTTTAAGGGTTTGAGAGCCCTGAGCCCTAAACCCATCCATTTCTGGGCCCCTAAGCCAACAAAACCCCAAAGTGGCCTGCCTGAGCGGATTCTGGTTGGGGCTTCGGGCCTTGAGATTTTGTGTTTTTGGGGGCTTTTGAAGCCCCTGATGCAGCGCATGAAATGGATACCTGAGGCTTGCAGCCCTGAAGGGCAAACAGTGAAACTCCGGCGCAGAAGAACAAGTAGCCTCTGCCGCAAGCGACACAACATTGCAGAGAAAAGCCTTGGGTTTATGGCTTACGGCTTACGGTTTAGGGTTTAGGGCCAAAACCCCAAACAGCCATGACCAGCCCATAACCCCGAATCCCCCTACAAACCCTAAACCCTATATGCCCGAACAGGTAGCTTCAGACAAACTTTCGCAACTCCCGAGCCGTTTGGTTTCGTTTTGGGGCTTTGGAGTTTGGAGTTTGTAGGCTTTGCAGGGTTTAGGGTTGAGGGCTTAGAGGGTTTAGGGTTTACAGGGTTGAGGGTTGAAACCCTAAACCCTAAACCCTAAACCCAAAACCCAAAATCCCCAACACCTGCCAAAGCACCTTTCCCGGGCTGCTCCAGTGTATGGCGGCCCGGCGGCCGGAAGGTACCGACACGACCTAGGTTTTTTGGGCCTCTAGGGTTTGGGGGTTTGGGGGTTTGGGTTTAGGGTTTAGGGTTTAGGGTTTAGGGTTTAGGGTTTAGGGTTTAGGGTTTAGGGTTTAGGGTTTAGGGTTTAGGGTTTAGGGTTTAGGGTTTAGGGGTGAGGGTTTAGGGTTTAGGGTTTAGGGTTTAGGGTTTAGGGTTTAGGGTTTAGGGTTTAGGGTTTAGGGTTGAGGGTTGAGGGTTTAGGGTTTAGGGTTGACTTACAATAGGGTTTATATAGGTTGAGGGTCTAGGGAGGGGTTATAGGGCTTTAGCGGGTTTGTAGGGCTTTCTTGCCTTCAGGGTTTATGGGTTTAAGGGTTTAGGGGCTTGTTGATGGGGGGTCTTGGTTTTTGGGTTCGGGGCTTAGACCCAAACCCTAAACCCTAAACCCTCAACCCCACTGGGCAGCCAGCCTGCTTGGACACGTTGATGCCCGCGCCCTGGCCCCTGGAGCCAACGTCTTCTGGCTTTGAGGCTTCCACCCTAAAATAAACCCTAAACCCTAAACCCTAAACCCTAAACCCCAAACCCTAAACCCTAAACCTTAAACCCTAAAAACCCTAAACCCTAGGGGGTCCAAAACTTCAAAGCCCTAAGCCCTAAGCCATGTCCGTGGGTAGTTGAATGTGGTTTCTTACCTTCTTTGACCCTAAACCCTAAACCCTAAACCCTAAACCCTAAACCCTAAACCCTAAACCCCCTTCCTACGTACAGTTTACCAGACCCACGAGGGCATCTAGGAACAAACAGGGTACTCGTTTTGGTTATAAGGGGGGTTGCAAGGAAACCGCACCCCCCCCCCCCCCCCCCCCCACAAAAAAAAAGGAAATAAGGGCCTACTCCGGGTCCTAGTTTAGTAGTAACTGCCCCTTAATGAGTAGGTAACCCATAAGACTGTAGGTAAAGAGAGCCCCAGGGCAGGCTTCTGAGGTAAGGGCCCCTTGGTTTCATAGGGTATATAGGGGTATATGAGGGGTCCCCATTTTTAGGGGTTAGGGTTTAGGGTTTAGGCATACTAAGGCATCATGCAACTACCCTTAGGCCTTATATAAACCCTAAACCCTAAGCCTTCAGGTCTTCCTCATCTTAAAAGAAAAGGTCCGCCGGCTTCTTGATATGTGTGTGGTGGAGGAGCCTTAAGCAAACTACCATTGCTCTGGTACTTGCAAACCCCTGAAGAAGTCTCTTTTCAAATTACCAACCAAAACAAACCGTGAGCCCTGAAACGCTAGTCCCTACCCCCGTAAATTTCTAACCTTAATCCATAAACCAACGCCCTCGACAAAAGGAGATTTCTAGAATCTGATGCACTATCTGGCGCAGTGTCGCAACACTCTCCCCCTAAACCCCAAACCCTACACCCTGAACACCGCCCTCGCCCCCGTAAGGTTTAGGCTTTCGGGTGTTAAGTTCTAGGGTTTGAGGCTTGAGCTGCTTCGGTCGTCGGCGGTGCTTCTGCATTCCGTACTCCATGCCAGTGCATGGAAGACCTTAAATGCACCAAAATTAAACACGAAATGCGAAGCCCGAAACCCACAAATCCTTCCTCCCCTGCCCCTCTTTCACCCGCACCCCTACACCCTACACCCTACACCCTACACCCTAAACCCTAAACCCTAAACCCTAAACCCTAAACCCGGCAAGTATCCACCCCTTCCTTGGCCGACTGCTCTGCCGGAGGTTGAGGGGCCTGGCGGACGATGACGGGCTTAGATCCACTGCAGCGACGAAAAGAGTCTTTCACCGAAGCCATGAACCAACCCGAACTACCCTAAACCCTGAAAACCCTATAAGTTAATACCTTATAAAACCCTATATAAGTTCATACCCCATATATAAGCCCTAAACTACTACCCTATAAAGCCAGCAAACAGAGGCTCAACCCTTTGAGGCCACATGTAGATAGAACCCTCAAAGGCCCACGGACGACGTCCTTAAAATCGTTGGGGTTGAGGGTTCGGGGCGCAAGGCTTGGGGTTTAGGGTTTGGGGTTCAGGGTTTAGGGTTCGGGGTTTAGGGTTTAGAGTTTAGGGTTTAGGGTTTAGGGTTCAAGGTTCAGGGTTTAGGGTTCACGGTTTGGGGGGAAGGGGTTGGGGAGAAAAGGACCCGAAGCACGGGGGCGGTGTGGCCTCCCCGTCGCATTGACGGCAACCTCGTGGCAAGCGGGAGGCCCCTAAACCCTAAACCCTGAGCCCTAAACCCTAAACCCTAAACCCTAATTAAACCCTAAACCCTAAACCCTAAACCCTAAACCCTAAACCCTAAACCTTAAACCCTAAACCCTAAACCCTAAACCCTAACCCCTTTCATGATCGAGCATCTAATTCGGTGCCAGGCTGGTAATTTTCAGCTCAGCGCACATCGTACTGGATTTTGGCTTACCCTTTTGGGCTCAAAAGAGCCCAAATGGGCATTTACGGTACCCCCATCTCCGGAAGCCCCCAAATAGCCCAAAGTGCTTTTTTGAAGCAAGGCCCCTAAATCCTAAACCCTAAACCCTAAACCCTAAACACTCAACCCTAAACCCTTCAAATAGGACTCCTCGGAGTCTCAGGCTTGGAAGGCAGCTGTCATCTGCCCACCTCGCATAGCCTGGAACCCTAAAACCCCGAATGCTCAAGCCTCTGAACCACCCAAGCCCTCTAGAAACCATAACTAGGCTGCCCAGTAACCTAGGCTTAAAAAGGGTGCCCTTTTTTGCTTGAAGGGGTTTATAAGGGAACCTAAACCCCCCAAAAAGGGAATAAGGGTACTACTGGGCATCCTAGATAAACATTTCACAGGTGCGGCATAATCTAGGGTCCCAAACCCAAGCCCCCCCCCCCCCCAAACACCCACCCCTAACCCCTTACACCCGATGAGCCCCAACAACAATCTTGGTGCCTCCTGCTATTTGCTTGAGAACCCTCAAGATATGAAGACAAGAACCCCTATATCACCCTCAGAAGGAAGACTATTTCTCTTTTTCCCTAAGCCCTAAACACTAAACCCTAAACCACAAACCCTAAACCCTTTGTGGGGGGGGGGGGGGGGGGTCCTAAGCAAATAGGTGTATTGGATGCCGATCCGGAAGCCTGCGCAGGGGCGACGTGCACCACACGGACCTGCAGTTGGTGCTCGCATTGACGGAGTTTAGGGTTTAGGGTTTAGGATTTTTGGTTTAGGGTTTAGGATTTAGGGTTTAGGGTTTTGGGGGTCAGGGTTTAGGGTTGTAGAGCTAGGGTTTAAGGTTTAGGGGTGAAGGGTTCTAGGGTTTAAGTAACGGTTTAAGGTTGTAGAGTTTGTTCTTTCTGGGGGTTGTACCTTGGACCCTTGAGGTTGTACCCTTGGGGTTTGTTCAAGATCCCCGAGGTAAGATAGGGTTCCCCCTAGGCCTACCCATACGTCGGGCCCAGCCTCCTCTGCTTTAGGCAAAACCCTGCTACACCCTAACGGGCTTCTGTATGCCTCATAAGGAGAGGAGGCTGTACATGAAGAGGGGTGGGTAACATCCATAAACACCCTGCCACGCCCGAAAAAAAACCTGGAACCAACCCTAAACCCTAAACCCTAAACCCTAAACCCTAAACCCTAAACCCTAAACCCTAAACCCTAAACCCTAAACCCTAAACCCTGACCCCCAAAACCCTAAACCCTAAACCCTAAACCCTAAACCCTAAACTCTGAACCCTAAACCCCCCCTAGTAACTCTCGAAGACTCCCGAAGGCTTCCCGAGCTGGAGTCCCGGAATGGCCCCGCCCTTTTCAAAGGATCTAGCTGCCCCCTGCACCAAGGGATGTAGGGCTTAGGGTTTAGGGTTTAACCCTAAACCCTAGACCCTAAACCCTAAACCCTAAACCCTAAACCCTAAACCACATCCTAAACCCTATAAACCCTACAAACCCTGTACATCCTGTAAACCCCGTCAACCCGAAAAACCCTGCAAACCCTGCAAACCCTACAGACCCTATAAACCCTATAAAAACAACACTACAGACTGTACAAACCCTGTATAAACCCTATCGACCCTCCAAACCCTATAAACCCTGTAACCTCTGTTAGCCCCATGAACCCAATGGACCCTAGAAATCCCATAAGCCCTACAAACCCTACAAACCCCTGTAACCCCTGTACGCCTTGTTAGCCCCCGATACTAGACAATCCAGAAGCCCTAAACCCTAAGCCCTAAACCCTAAACCCTAAACCCTAAGCCCTAAACCCTAAACCCTAAACCCTCAAATCCAGAAATCCCATAAGCCCGAAGCCCGAGGCCTCGAGGCTGAGATCCCCTATGCGGGTGAACTGCAAGGTGTTACGGACGCCTAGGCCGTGGAGTCAGCTGGGCTTTGGGGTTTGGGGTTTGGGGTTTAGGGTTTAGGGTTTAGGGTTTAGGGTTTAGGGTTTAGGGTTTAGCGGCTTGGGGTTGAGGATTTGGGGTTTCGGGTTTCGTGCTTAGGGTCTGGGGTTTGGGGGCCTAGGGTTTGGGGTGGTACGTGTTGGGCCCGAGGCTGTGGGGCTTAAGGTGCGCAAGTTCAATACGTGTGCTGTGCCTAGGCTCCCACATTAAGAACAGCCGCATTAGGGCTTTGAGGCTTTAGGGTTGTATAGTCCTAGAAAGTACCTTCAGAGCCACTGCATATACTGCATAGGAACATGGACCCTTGGGAATTAGGAACCTGGATAAGCTGGAGAGAGCTTTTCTGTTCCAGAGCTGTTTTAGGGTTTAGGGTTTAGGGTTTAGGGTTTTGCCTCACTCAGCACACGCCAGTTGAAGGTTCATACAGGGAATGGTCTACGTTCTGGGCCCTGGAAGGATTCCTGGACCACTAGGAGGCTACTGTCCCCCAGCCCCAAATCTTAACCTAAACCCTAAACCCTAAACCCTAAACCCTAAACCCTAAACCCTAAACCCTCAACCCTAAACCCTAAACCCACAAGGCCCCCACCCAAGAACACAAAGTCTGGCTCCTGGTCGTTGTCATCCGGCTCCTGGCAGCGGGGCCAGGGCTTCCAGGGTGGGGCTCTAGAGCTGAACTTGGGCTCAAGGCCAATGCCCCATGGAGTTGTTTAGGGTTTAGGGTTTAGGGTTTGGGGTTTGGGGTTTAGGGTTTGAGGGTTTAGGGTTTGAGGGTTTGGGGTTTGGGGATCGGGGTTTGGGGTTTGGGGCCTTCGAGTCTTGGGCTCAGAGTCCCTAAGGGGAAAGCCTAGTTCAACCCTAAACCCCAAACCCCAAATCCGAAACCCTAAACCCTAAACCCTAAATCCTGACCCCAAAGCCATGAACCCTGAAAGATTAAGCAGCACTCCAACTGTAGTTAGGGTATATCAGACCGTAATCTGGGGTCAAGACTATCCCTGCAGGCCCTAGAACCTACTGACACCCTATGCCATCTTTCAGGCACTCCAAACCCTAAACCCTAAGCCCTAACCCTAAGCCCTAAACCCTAAAACCCTAAACCCCATACCCTAAGCCCCAACCCCAAAGCCCGGGGCCTTTTTCGCCGCCATCTGCACAGTACAGGCCTGGATGGCTTGCAGTGACAGCGCCTGGCACGGCCGGGCGACGGGTTCAGGAGTGTTCTTTTTTGCGTTTAGGGTTTGGGGTTAGGGTTTGGGATTTAGGGTTTGGGGTTTAGGGTTGGGGTTTGGGGTCTGGGGTCTGGGGGCTGGGGTCTGGGGTCGGGGGTCTGGGGTCTGGGGTCTACGTGCAAGGGTTTTGTTGAGGGCATATAAAGCAGGGTATATATTTCTTGCACCCCCAAAAGGACGCCCAATTTTTGCACTCACCAATATTGAAAAGGAACCGTATATACACTCACCAATAACAGAAAATAAGCCCTGTGTCATATAAGGGCTTATCCGTGGTTTGTAAGGGTTTAGACGCATTTCTTTGAAGGGCTGGTAAGGGGGTGTTTAGGGTTCCGAAGATCCGAGGCTTCAGGGTGGTTTAAGGTGCTTGAAGCCCTAAGCCCTAAACCCTAAACCCTAAACCCTAAACCCTTAAGACCTATAGGGGCTCCTGGAGGTTGAGGGGTCCTTGGGAGATGAGGAGTCTAGGGAGCGGCCGTTAAGGGGGAGTTTGATTTAGGGGTTTAGGGCTTAGGGTTCAGGATTTTTCCAGGGTCTGAAAGTGTTCCAGGGAAAGCCTAGAAGTTAAAAAACCTAAGCTCCGAGCCTTGAACCCTGAAACCCTGTACCCTAAACCCTAATCCCCAAACCTCAAGAACATAAAGTTCAACTATTGGTTCCGCAAGTTGTGTTTGTACTTCCGCTTCAAAGCCCACAGCACTGACAAAGCACCCCCCCCCCACCCCCCCCCACCCCCCCCCACCCCCCCCCCACCCCCCCCCCCCCCCCCCCACCACCCACCCGCCCGCAACAAAGAATAACGAAAACCAGTCAAACAAAAAAAAACACGCACAGTTTCTGAAAAAGAAATGGCTTCGTGGCTTGTAAGGCTTCTTAGGGCTGATGGGCTTCCAGGGCTCTTCGGCTTCATAGGGTTTAGGGTTTAGGGTTTGGGGTTTAGGGTTTAGGGTTTCGGGTTTAGGGTTTAGGGCTAGGGTTTAGGGAATTTGGTTGTTCATAGGTCGTCGTAACTGGGGCTCCAGGTAGGGTTTTCTATGATATCTAACCGGTGGTTTTGCTTGGTTACAACCCAACTTATTGCCTACCCATGAACATTAAAGTAGGTTTAGGGCTTGTGGTTTAGGGTTTCTGGCCCCACTCATCACCTAACCATGAATGAATGAACGGGCTTGCACGGCTTATGGGCTCTGAAATGTTTCATGCGCCTGCGACTCCGTCTGCCGCAGCCTCCATCGCAGCCGATGGGTGTGGGACGACAGGGGATTGAGAAGGAGATTGCCCTATAACCCTAAGCCCTAAAGCCTAAACTCTAACCCTAAAACCCCAAAAGCGGCTTAAATAGGGCAGTAGGGCTTGAGGGACCCCGGAATGGAACAACACTACCTGTCGTTTTTTTGAGGGTTGAGGGTTTGAAGTTTAGGAACCTTCTCAGGGTAGTTACATGGTCCCTTAATACGCCAAACCCTTTTAAAGTTCTATCACGGAGAATTCGGCCCACTCTCCGGATGCGTTTAGAATAAACACACAACTCTACCATGTCCTGTAGGCACGTGCTTTGTTTCGGGTTTAGAGCCAAAGTAATTAGCCAGCGATGTCTGGCTTATTCCTGTTTACTGTGGTTGCTGGCTGGGGTCTCATGCGTGTGGGGTCCCATGGACAAGTCTCAAGCCCCAGCACCAGTTGCACCTTCCTGAGACTTTTTAGGGTTTAGGGTTTAGGGTTTAGGGTTTAGGGTTTAGGGTTTAGGTCTAAGGCCTGATTGATTGGGGGGGAGGGGGGGAGTGGAGGGGGTGGAGAGGCCTAGGAGGTGGTGCCCAGGTTTGAAGCCCTCCCTTTCGCGCGTCTTCCCCGACGTGCCTGACGGCAATCCTTGTGGCGTCACAGTCCAAAGGCAGCATCCGTGGTGCCAGGGGATCACCTAGCACGAAGTGACAAAACGACTGAGTGAAAGGGCAAGTGTGTGAGTGATTGTGGACTTGGGCGGGAGGGTTGGGGGGTGGGGGGGTCCGGGGGCGAGGGTGACCATGTACAATTATGTATGTAGACAAACGAATGCACATACATGCATATTATATATATATAGGACATATACATGAATATACATATAAAAAAACGGCATGCGGGCGGTGCTTGGGGCAAAGTACCAGCTGAAACCGTCCAAGGCAGCGTAAACCCCCAGAAAAAAACTAAACCCTAAACCCCAAACCCCAAACCCCAAACCCTAAACCCTAAACCCTAAACCCTAAACCCTAAACCAGCCCGCTGCCTGCCACATCATCATTGGGCGGCAGCGGGACGTAGCAGAGGTCCGGCATGCCTGGGCTACCAGGCTTCCAGGGGCTCCCCAAAACCTAAACACTAAACCCTAAACCCTAAACCCTAAACCCTAAACCCCAAACCCCAAACCCTAAACCCTAAACCCTAAACCCTAAATTTGCGAAATGACAGTCTGCGCTCTGTGGTCTACAACATGCTTGCAGATTGTTCAGAAAGTGCTTACCTGTAGGCCACTATACTCCTTAAAACCTTAAACCTTAAACCCCAGAAAACCTAGCGTCATACAGGGAAGTCCTAAACCTCAAACTACTATTTGCTTGGGAAACCCCCAAAACATGAACAAAATGATCCTTACATTGCCCTTATAAGGAAGAAGGTTTGTATTCTTTGGGCTGTTCTTAAGCAAACTAAACCCTAAACCCTAAACCCTAAACCCTAAACCCTAAACCCTAGACCCTAAACCCTCAAGAATGGTTCCCCCGGGTCACACATCCCAAGGTGCCTAAGGCCCTAAACAGCCACTCTGGGGGGTGAGCCGGAAACCTCCCCCTTCAACTCCGGAAAGCGCGGCTGATCGGGTTTAGGGTTTAGGGTTTAGGGTTTAGGGTTTAGGGTTTAGGGTTTGGGGTTTGGGGTTTGGGGTTTGGGGTTTGGGGTTTGGGGTTTGGGGTTTGGGGTTTGGGGTTTGGGGTTTGGGGTTTGGGGTTTGGGGTTTAGGGTGGTCCCTAGTATGGGCCCTTAAATGGGGGGCCCCGTTTTCACCCCTTACACACCTACACAACCCAACGGTCCATACTTCAGAACCCTTTAACGAAGGTAAGGGACCAGATTTACCCTTGGAATCTAACCCTAAACCCTCAACCGAAGCCTAAACCCTTAACCCTAAACGCGAAGGAACCTGTTGCTAATCCCAGCTATCCGGGAAGGATCTGTTGAGATCTCCTCGCATGACTTCCCCTGTTACAGTGTCTAGCATACTGTACATATTCTATATATATATATACACATACACACAATTATTTTGTGTAGGTGTATATATATATGTGTGTATAAATTTCAAATTATAGTTCAAGGGAGCCTAAATCCGGTAAGCGTTGCGTATGGGCTTTCCAGCTTTGGGCACGATTCCTGGCCGGGCTGCGACTGAAGCTGCTTCCGGGCATGCGGGAGGAGGTTCGCTCCTCATCAGCGGCTTGCTTAACATTCGAGGCGTAGGGCTTGTAGCCTAAACCCTAAACCCTAAACCCTAAACCCTAAACCCTAAACCCTAAACCCTAAACCCTAAACCCTGAACCGAGAATGGATGTCTTCAAGAGGTAGGGTTGAGGGTTGACTGATGGGGCCCAAGCCCATGATCGTGATCTCTTTCTGGACCCGCAACCCTAAACCCTAAACCCTAAACCGTAGACCCTCAACCCTAAACCCTAAACCCTAAACCCTAAAACCTAATATGACCCCCACTGGGGATCAAAGGCGGAATGTCGATGATGGCCCCGAAACATACTTCCTGCACTTATAGTCATCAGGGTTGAGGGCAGGTTCAGGGTCTCTGACACGACGGCCCCCAAAATCCTTCCACGCCCTGCCTCAAGACCCTCAACTCCAAACCCGCCGAAACCCTAAAAACCCTAAACCCTAAACCTTAAACCCTAAACCCTAAACCCTCGCCTGTCGCGGATAGATGAATCGCAGCTGCTCCGAGCGAACGTGATCCTGAGCGGAGCTTTTAGGAGCTCGCACGGGAGGTCTGGACTTGGAGCGGGTCTTGCCAGGGTTTAGGGTTTAGGGTTTAGGGTCTAGGGTTCAGGCTTCAGGTTTAGGATGGTAGGTAGAAGACCCTTAGGCAGAAATACACCGACTTGTGACTTGAAGCTTGTACTTCTGCATCCCAGTTCGATGCCGTCGCTCTCGGCCCCTACAGAGAGATTCAGAGAATAACCTTACAAAAATGGAGTAGGCGTTTCCATTGTCAACCCTAAACCCTAAACCCTACTAAACCTTAAACCCCAAACCCGAACCCTGAATCCTGCACCTTATGCTGCGGCACGTCCATGCGACCCAAACCCCTACACACCCTGAATAGTTGGACCTGCCACCCCACCCACCCCACCCACCCTCCCACGACAAAACGACAACAAAACCGATGTTGGAGCTTGAAAGAAGTAGTCCTTGGGTTGAACACAAACGATGCAAACTCATCTCTGCCCCGAAGTCGGAATCCTAAACCCTGAGCCCTGAACCCTAAACCCGATAAACCGGGGTTTAGGGTTTAGGGTTTAGGGTTTAGGGTTTAGGGTTTAGGGTTTAGGGTTTAGGGTTTAGGGTTTAGGGTTCAGGGTTAGGGTTTAGGATTTAGGAAATCTGCCCTGTCAGGGCAACATAGGGATCACCATCATCTGCTTTTGGCGGGCTCCTATGCAAATAGTAGTGAACCCTGGACATGGGAAAGGCGGATCTTTTTAGGGGGTCCAAACTCTAGGCTGCGCGGGAATGTCAAGCAGGGTTTTGGGGAATCGGGCTTCATGTTTAGGGTTCAGAGGGTTTAGGGTTTATAGGCTGGAGGGAATTCTCCAGCCCACACAGATGCGACGTTGTGACGAACAGAGCCTTGAAACGCTGTGAGAACTGGAACTCCTGACTGAGCTCACCGACTTGGAGAACCCGTTGGTCGCGGGTAAGCACCAACTTGCTTTAAAGCGCCCAGGTACGCCCACCCAAGTTGAAACCACGGACTTGAAGCGCGTCGCCGAACAACAGTTACACCCAAGAGGGTTGGCGATACCGCTTACTGTAGCGGACCGCGAAGTGCGGCTCGTTTAATCGCTTCCCCCCTTGTATTAAACACACCCCTGTTGTTAAAAACACTTTCCGGAGAATCCTGCCAAAACCGACCCCGCCTTTTAAACCCTGTTCCGAATGAGGGGGTTCAGAGCCTCAAAAACCTTCAAGCCAATCTAAACCCTATCCCAAAACATCGAAAAAAGCATCCCCCGAATGGCAAAAACACATTTCGAGATTCTACGGGGGGGGGGGCGCCCGTTTAATCATAGGGGGAAGGGATTTAAGGCGCCGAAGCAAAGCCAATCATTCAGATCCACCCACGCTTGGTAGCCCAGTAACCATATCATAATACGGGCACCCATTTTGGGTTGCTTACTTTGTAAGGGAAGCCATTACCCAAGAAAAAGGCTAAAGAGTACCACTGGGCTACCAAGCACGATTATGTCTACCTTACACCGATTACACCCTGAACCCGAAGCCCCAACTCAAAAAAATTGAAATCGAAGGGGGGGCAAACCTTAAACCCCCTATAGGCCCTAAACCCCAAACCCTAAACCCTGAACCGGAACCCTAAACCTTAAACCCCTAAGGCCTAAACCCTAAACCCGAAACCCTAAAACCAAGACCCTAAACCCCAAACCCTAAACCCGTCTCCAAATCCGGCTGCGCCACCGCGATCCACGAGGGGCTGTGCACGGCAATGACGACGGGCTTCTCTAGAAGCTGCCTTAGAAATAGGGTTTAGGGTTTAGGGTTTAGGATTTAGGGTTTAGGGTTTAGGGTTCACGGTTTAGGTTTTAGGGTCTAGGATTTAGGGTTTAGGGTTAGGGTTTAGGGGCGAATTGGGGCATAAGGTACCATATATAATCCTTAAAGGGTATATAGGGGATATATTGTACCTTATTGCTCCATTCCATACTAACCAACGGTAAGGAATTGGTGTCCCGGTGGGACATGAGGGTTTAGGGCTTGGAGCTTAAGGTTTCGGGTTTGGGGTTTAGGGTTTAAGGGTTTGGGGTTTAGGGTTTAGGGTTTAAGGGTTTAGGGTTTAAGGGTTTAGGGTTTAGGGTTTAGGGTTTAAGGGTTTCGGTTGTTCTTCGGGTTGGGGGCGGGGGTCTGTGCAGAGGGGGCGGAGAAGCTGGTAAGAACCTGTTGTGAGACTAAGCTTCAGGCTTGAGGATCTAGATTCAGGGTTTAGGGTTTAGGGTTTAGGGTTTAGGGTTTAGGGTCTAAGATTTAGGGCTTGCTTATTGCCTGGGATGCTTGTTGTTTGGTGGCATTGTTTGGTGTAGCAAGCCCCAAAACCCTAAACCACCTTAAACCCCGTTTGGTACAGGGACGGGCAGGATTCCGAAACTTGTATACGTCCTTTTCAGCTCGATAGCAACCTAGCAAGTAACCCGAAACCCTAAACCCTAAACCCTAAACCCTAAACCCTAACCTTCAAACCTCTGAGCTGCAGCAGGGCCCTAGGGAGCCTTCTGGCGAAGCTTGAACCGGTGCTCAGGTGCGGACCATGACATCACTATCCTCAGCAGCATGGTTTTGGGGTTTAGGGTTTAGAGCTAGGGTTTAGGGTTTAGGGTTTAGGGTTTGGGGTTTAGGGTTTAGGGTTTAGGGTTTAGGGTTCAGGGTTAGGGGTTTAGGGGTTTAGGGGTTTAGGGGTTTAGGGGTTTAGGGGTTCATAACCCTTTTGGGGTTTAGGGTTCTGGAAGTTTAGGGTTTAGAGTGTCGGGTCTTGGGGGTTTTTTGGGCGGGGGGGGGGGGGGGGGGGGGGGGGGGGGTTTGGGGCTTCTCTCGAGGGGTTGTACTTTGTACCCTTAAGGTTGTATCTTTGGGTTTTGGGGACCCTTTTTGAAGAGCCTTAAGGTAGTATAAGGGCACCCTAAACCCTAAACCCTAAATCCTAAACCCTAAACTCTAAACCCTAAACCCTAAAGCCTAAGATTCGGAGTATGTTAACGGGAAGCTTTCAGGGTACCACCTTGGGGGGTACGCGTCTGAATCCCATTAAAAACCCTAGCAAGTCCACCTTGAGAAGCCTTCAACAAGACGGGTATACTGAGGCCCAAACAAACCAAGGGACTCAAGCCCCCTTTGTGGGTACATGAACCCCCTACAATTGCAACGAACGACCCCATTAAAACCCAAGGGTCCTAAAAACAAAAAAGCCCAAAACCTCAAGGCTATCACTAAACCCAAGGCCCTAAACTCTGAACCCTAAATCGTCTGGAAGGGTTTAGGGTTTAGGGTTTAGGGTTTAGGGTTTAGGGTTTAGGGTTTAGGGTTTAGGGTTTAGGGTTTAGGGTTTAGTGTTTGGATCCCTACCTTTCCAAATTTCAGCAGGAATGGAAGGACATCAAACCCAACGCCCTGAGATCAAGGGCGAAGAAGGGTTTAGGGTTTAGGGTTTAGGGTTTAGGGTTTAGGGTTTAGGGTTTAGGGTTTAGGGTTTAGGGCTCAGAGTTTTTGGTTTACTTGGAGGTTCATGGGTACTTCTGCAAGCTTAGAACTACCCATGAACCTTCAAGTGGGGTTTTGGGGTTTGGTGTTTTGGGTAGTTGAGCTTCATGCAGCTTTGTTGGGCCCTTGGCGCTTTAAGGTAGTTTCGAAACTTGGGGCTTAGGAATTAGGCTTTTTGGGGGTGAAAAACTTGTCGGCTGATGAAACCGCTAACCCTAATTTTAGGGTTTAGGGTTTAGGGTTTAGGGTACATAAACCCTAACCCCCCCTCAACCCCTCCACCCCTCAACCCTTACCCCCCCCCCCCCCCCTTCGGACCCCCAAAAAACCCTTAACGCCCCCAAGCCCTCAACTCAAGCCGAGGATCAGGATGTTGATGCGCTGCTTGCCCGCCTCTCTGGGGTTTAGGCTTTTGGGGGTTTAGGGTTTAGAGTCTCGGGTTTGCGGGCGGGGGTTTAGGGTTGAGGGAAACCTCAACCCTAAATCCTGAGCCCTAAGCCATAGCCCTAAACCCTAAACCCTAAACCCTCAACCCTAAACCCTAAACCCTAGACCCTAGACCCGAAACCCTGTAGGGCGCGGGATGCTGATGTGCTGCGCTTGCCCGCCTCGTCGACGGGAACCGCCAGGGGCACCTGTGTGAAAATACGGCCCGCGGAGCCCGAATCTTCCTACATTGGTTTAGGGTTTAGGGTTTAGGGTTTAGGGTTTAGGGTTTGGGGTTTAGGGTTTAGGGTTTAGATTTTAGGGTTTAGGGCGAACCATAAATCGCCGACCTCCAAACCGGCACAAAATTTAGACCACACCCTCAACCACCCGGGTGTGTGGCATAGAGGCTGCCTGTTCAGAAGCACATGTGGTCACCTCGCAACATGTGGTCCCTCTGACATACATAATTTATAAAGGTACTGAGATTCTTCTCACAGGTACTTCCCCAAACCCTAAACCCTAAACCCCAAACCCTAAACCCTAAACCCCAAGCCCTAAACCCAAACCCGATTTTCGAAAACAAAACCCATGTGGGCCCTCTCCTCGAACACAACAGCTCAGCACTCTAAGCTTCAATCCCTGGGATACCCTAAATAAAAACGGGGCCGCATTATCATAAGGACCCCAAAAGGGACCATAGTTTAGAGACATGACCATACATACATATATATATATATATCTCTCTCTCTCTCTCTTGGGATGTTCCCCCGTATACTAACAGTCCTTAATCGGGATTATAGTACCCCCTCTGATGATCCCTCTTAAGGGCTGTCAGTATAAGGGGGGACCATCCCAAAATACATCTTTCCAGGTTGCCCAATAGCCTAGGATTAATAAAAGGGTGCCCTTTTTGGCTTAAAGGGGTTTATAAGGGAACCCAAACCCCCCAAAAAGGGAATAAGTAGGGCACTACTGGGCATCCTAGCTTTCCACCATGAAGGAAGCGAATCGTGCACACTGGGAGTTAACTCGAGGTTAAAACCCGAGCTGAAGTGCTCAGGCTTGCAGATGTTGTAGCCAGGGTTAGGGTTAAGGGCTTAGGGTTTTTTAGGATTTAGGGGTTTCGGGTTTAGGGTTTAGGGTTTAGGGCTAAGCCCTAGTTCCAAGCCGCGCCTTCATCTCAGCATCGTGCTGCGCACGAAGCTGCAGGGTAGGTGACCAGCAATCCCGGTCTGGGCCGAACAGCGTCACGCGCCTGGGAGGCTAAGTGTTGAGGGTTTAGAGTTTAGGGTTCAGGGTTTAGGGTTTAGGGCGTATGGTGTAGGGTTTAGGGCCTTGGGTTTAGGGTTTAAGAATCAGTTAGGAGGGGTGCACTTCATGAAGGGTGGCGTGGGCGACACCGAAATGTTATAAGGAGTTGCTGAAGCAAGCTTCACGTGTTTTCCTGCGGCGAGGAAGCTGTGGGCCTTAGAAATGAACCTATATGAAACAGGGTATGTATTACTGTTCTTGGTGAGTGTATATAAGGTTCCTTTTTAAACTTGGCGAGTGTTTGTATTGGGGTGTCCTATTGGGGATACAAGAAATATAAGCCCTACTTCATATGGGCTTATGGGCTGGCTTCGGGTGTAGCTTCGGTTACGTCACCTGTGGGCCCATAGAACAGCACAGTTAGTTTATGCCAAAATCGCCCCCCCCCCCCCTACCGCTAAAGACCCCCATAGTTCACTTCCTGGTGCTTTTTGCGAGCGCATGCAACAGCCGGGTACTCAAATACCAGGGGAAGGACTGCGGGGTGAGAGAGAAGGACCTCCCGCCAACCTAACCATTTATGCAAGTTGAACTTCAGCCCGGGGTTTAGGGTTTAGGGTTTAGGGTTTAGGGTTTAGGGTTAGGGAACAGCCTGCAAACTTCCTTGAACTTCCCCAGAACCCAAACACACAACAGCCTTCCAGCCGCATGCTGGCCCAAGGCCCAAAAAACACACCCAGCCAGCGTTTAGGGTGTAGGGGGTTTAGGTTTTAGGGTTTTAGGGTTTAGGGTTTTAGGGTTTAGGGTTTTAGGGTTTTAGGGTTTTAGGGTTAGGGTTTTAGGGTTTAGGGTTTTAGGGTTTTAGGGTTAGGGTTTTAGGGTTTTAGGGTTTTTTTTAGGGTTTTCGGGTTTAGGGTTTTAGGGTTTTAGGGTTAGGTTTAGGGTTTAGGGTTAGGGTTTTGGGGTTTTAGGGTTTGGGTTTAGGGTTTTAGGGTTTTAGGGTTTTAGGGTTTAGGGTTTAGGGTTTTTTAGGGTTTCAGGGTTTTAGGGTTTTAGGGTTTTAGGGTTTTAGGGTTTTAGGGTTTTAGGGTTTTAGGGTTTTAGGGTTTTAGGGTTTTAGGGTTTTAGGGTTTTAGGGTTTTAGGGGTGTAAAATACGGCTATAATTCTTAGATAGGGTCCTTCTATTCCTACATTGCAAGTACCCATGAACTCCAAGTAAAGCCTAAACTCCTTTCCTCCCCCCCTCTCCCCCCCCCCCCTCCCCCGGTGCAGCCCTCAAATCCGGGCTCCAGATTTGCGGAGGAAGTGCGGGCGAGTGGCAGTTCCAGTTCACTCCCTGGCAAGGAGTGAATCTCGCCTCAGTCACGGGCCTAGGGGGGAACTTAGAGGGTAGGGTGTAAAGGGTTTAGGGTTTAGGGTTTAGGGTTTAGGGCTACATCCGACATCACCCACCGAATTCAATCCCCTAAGCTGGAACAGCTGGAACCGAGTCTACCTCAGGCTCTCTGAGAAGTAACCCTAAAGCATCCCAACACCCCTCCTTTTGGCGGCCAGGATGCAACTGCCCTGATTCTGTAGGATGGCTTCTTAGAATTGTCGGGTTTAGGGTTTCGGGGATCGTGCTGAGAAAGAAGGGACACACGAAGAGCACTGGGCATTGAGCATGACCAGCCCCCTTTCCGGAAAATGATCCGTAAGCCCTAAACTCCTAAACATGTTCAAACCTTACAGGCCAACCCAAAACCCTAAACCCGAAACCCTAACCATGAATTCAGAAGCGCATCCCATGGACTCCCGCATGTCATGAAACAGACGAAGAACAAATTGCCAAAAAGGGGGGGGCGGAAAGTTCAACCCTAAAACCCGAAACCTTGAAACCTAATAAAACCCTAAACCCTCAACCCTCGCCCTAAACCCTAAACCCTAAACCCTAAACCCTAAACCCTAAACCCTAAACCCTAAACCCTAAACCCTAAACCCTAAACCCTAGCCCTAAACCCTAAACAGGCCCACGGACCCTTAGGGGGGCAGAGGACTCAGTCACCGGCGCTTCTTCCCCGGCTGCAGGGTCTCTCTCAGTGGGGCGGCTCCCGCACCACGGACCTGGAGGCCCACCCCTAAGGGTCTAGGGTTTAGGGTTTAGGGTTTAGGGTTTAGGGTTTAGGTTGAGGGCCATACAGTACATATCCACCGACAAACGCGGGGGGGGGGGGCACAATTTTTTCGTGGAGGACCGCGCCACACGCACAGCATAAACAGGCGGTTCAGCACAGGGGGGTAGGGGCGCCCTCAGCAAAATCACGTTTTCGACCCCAACCCCTCAACCAACCCCCCCACCCCCCGCCCCACCCCCCCCCCCCCCCCCACCCCCCCCCCCAACCCCCCCCACCCCCCCCCCCACCCCACCCCCCCCCCCATCCCCCCCCCCCCCCCCCCCCCCCCCCCCCCCCACCCCCCCCACCCCCCCACCCCGCCACCCCGCCTTGTCTTTTTGGCTTGAGCTTGTCCTGGTGCTACCCCCTACCCCCCCCCAAACGTTTCACAGAACTCTGCTGAGCAGGCTGGGATGATCTTCGAACCATGCGAGCGGGTTTAGACCTCTCAACTATGCTCCAGCGGGGTCGGCGGCTTGAGCCGGAGGCTCTTAAATTTGGGCCCTAAAGCTACTGTATAGGAACCCCGTTAAGGGCCAAGCATATACTATATGGGTACATGGACCCTTTGGGCAAGCTGGCAGATCACATGGGAAGCTTTCGCTAGATGAGGCTTTATGGGGTTTCGGGTTTAGGGGTTTAGGGGTTTAGGGGTTTAGGGGTTTAGGGGTTTAGGGGTTTAGGGGTTTAGCGGTTTAGGGGTTTAGGGGTTTAAGGGGTTTAGGGTTTAGGGTTTAGGGTTGGTTTCGGGTTTAGGGTTAGGGTTGCTGTGGGCCTCTTTTTTTGGCCTGGGAGCTTTCGTCTTTGTGGAGCTGCAATGTTGTGTGGGCCCGCAGCTCGCGGGGACGTGAAGTTGGGTGTTAATCGTAGTATCTACCCGAGCACACCCCATGTATACGCTCGCCCACATTTTACAAGGAACCCTACATGCACGCAATGGCCGTGAGACAAGCACATGCAGTGCAGGACTCGTGCGAATGCCTGTCGGAGTACATATCAGGACTACGTACCCTAAACCCGAAACCCTGTATAGATTGTAAACCCTAAGCCCTAAAACCAAAGATGAACTCACTCAGAGCTTGCTTCGGGGTTGGCAAAGCTTTGCAGCGCAGGCTCTTGGGGCTTCTTTCGGATCTGGGCCCTGTGTTCTTGAGGGTCGACTGGAATTCGGAGTTTAGGGTTTAGGTTTTTGGGTAGTTGAGGTATGTTGTGCTTGAGTGGTTTAGGGCTTTGGGGTTCTCGGGCGAGTCGGGCGAAGTAGTTTTGGAATTTAGGGTTGCTGAGGGCTTTTGCGGGGCCTTGGGGCTTAGGCTTTTTCAGGCTTAGAAGCAGTTTTGTATCCGTGGCAATGAACCTCCAAGCCTCTCTAAATATGAGTGGGTTCCATGTCATTCTCCGCACTTAAGGGCTTCGAAATTGAGGCGGCACAGCCTCCACAGTGAAGGGCACAGGAAGAGAGGACACCACCGTGACCTTGGTCGCTTAGGGGAGGCTGTCTAGGAGGGGACACTTGTGACCACATGAGCGTAAAGGGCTTTGAGTCTACACTAGAAGGGTCGCCACCGTAAACTGAAAACTCCCGGCCCCCCGAACCACCCCATTCCAGCACGTCCCAATTCTCGTGCGTGGCCCAGCGCAACATCCTCTTTCGTGAGGTGCGTGCGACTGGGTGAGCCCCCTCTCCCCCCCCTCCCCCCCCCAACCCCCACCTGGTTCGCTAAACCCTAAACCCTAAACCCTAAACCCTAAACCCTAAACCCTAAACCCTAAACCCTGAATCACGATCAACCGTAAGCCCCCGTAAACCTTGAGCCCGAGACCCTATTCAGGTCTGGAGAAAGCCTACTTCTGTAACCCCATACCCCGACCCCGAAAAAGAGAACCTCAACCCCAAAGCCTAACCCCCCAAAAGCCCCTAAAGCCCTCTTTGAAGCCCAAACCCTAAACCCTAAACCCTAAACCCTAAGCCCTAAACCCTAAACCCTTAAAATCCCTAAGTCCCCCCCCCCCCCCTGAGGCCCCTTAAGCAAGACCCTAACCTCCGAAGTTCGGCAGACTCCGGGGTCCTGACGGGCGCGTGCAGACTGAGCGTCCACTGCCGGGCATCTGGCGCGCCCTCTTTTGGGGGGGCTCTTGAGGGTTTAGGGTCTAGGGTTTAGGGTTTAGGGTTAAGGGTTTAGGGTTTAGGGTGTGGGGTTCAGGGCTCTTGAGGGTTCAAAAGGGGCTTTGAGTTTCGGGTTTCGGGGTTTAGGGGTTTTAGGGGTTTAGGGGCTAAGGGGTTAAGGGGTTAAGGGTTTCGGGCTTAGGGTTTTGGTTTAAGGGTTAATCTTTGTGTTCCGAGCCTAGGGCTCAGGCTTTAGGGTTTGGGGCTTATATGGTTTAAAGTTCAGGGTTTAGGGCTCAAGTTGTGCTTGCTTCAGTCTCGGCTGAAGGCATCAAGAGCTCGGATACCTCCTTTCCCGCCGGCAAGTCACACAGTTGTACTTGATCACATCGGCGTGGCTCAGGGGCAACGCAGAAAGCCCACAACCCAACCCTAGACCCCAAACCCCGAGAACCCTGAACTCTGAACCGGAACCCCTTGCGCAGCTTAAGGTTTAAGGAAATTTTGGGGTCCCTAGGAAGCCACTGGGATTTTCCCTAGTCCTAAACCTGAACCCCTAAACACTAATCATGAAAGCATCTGATGGTTCAAAGTGCGTTCCGAAGGTTATCATTCACCGCGAACTCCACTTCATGGTCTCTTTCCTAGGTCACAGGGGTATTGGGCTACAAAATTGACCCGACATAGTTTCATTTGGGGAAATTCGGCCAGATATCTCGTTCTCTAAGTCAGAACCCCTAAACCCTAAGCCCCAATCCCTCCCTAAACCCTAAACCCTAAACCCTAAACCCTAAACCCTAAACCCTAAACCCTAAACCCTAAACCCTAAACCCTAAACCCTAAACCCTAAACCCTAAGCCCTAAGCCCTAAGCCCTAAGGCCGCCGCCCTAAACCCTAAACTCTAAACCCTAAACCCTAAACCCTAAACCCTAAACCCTAAACCCCCTGGAAGGGAGCGCCTGGACATGAATCGACTCCATCTTCCACACCAGGCCTGCGAGTCGCCGTCGGAGGACTTCAGGTAAGCAAGGAGGGTTTAGGGTTTAGGGTTTAGGGTTGGATAGGTTTCTGGAGGTGAAAACCTCCCTTTTTCCCTCCTTACCCCCCTAAAACGCGCGGGGGGGGGGCAGAGGGGGGTACCCCGGCAGCTTTTCCGTGGAGGGCCAGGCCACCCACACCGCGTGTACTCATGGACCATAGGCGGTTTCGCACAGGGCATAGGGGCTTTTTGGGGAAAAAACCCACCCCCCCCCGCCCCCTTCCCCTCCCCACTAAAAACTTAACCTGCACCCTGAACCCTAAACCCTAGGCCCTCCCACCCTTAACCCTAAGCCTGTGGTCGTTGGGCTGTCCTCGGTTTAGGCTTTCGGGGTTTAGGGTTCCGGTTTCGGTTTAGGCTTTACTTTGGGGTTTAGGGTTCGGCTTTAGGGCTGAGGCTTTAGGGTTTAGGCTGTAGGGTTTAGGGTTTTCGGATGTAGGGTTTAGGGTCGGGTTTGGGTTTAGGGTTTGGCGCCGGGGCACGCTGCACCGCTTGGGCCCTGAACAATGCTCCGGCGGGGTCGGCGGCTTGAGCCGGAGGCTCTTAAATTTAGGGGTTTAGGGTTTAGGGTTTAGGGGTTTAGGGTTTAGGGGTTTAGGGTTTAGGGTTTAGGGTTTTGGGGCTTAGGGCTGAAGATAAACAAGGAGCCCTGAAGCCTAGAATTGCCGACCGCTTAGACTCGACTACGCCTCCGAAAAGGTCATGTACAGCTAGGCCACGCGTACCCACAGGGTTTAGGGCTCTTAAGGTTTAGGGTTTAGGGTTTAGGGTATAGGGTTTAGGGTTTAGGGCTCTTAAGAGAAGTTGTTGCGCAAATCGGAAACCCTGAACCCTCACGACCATGCAGGCAACTCGAACCTACAAATTTAGGGTTTAGGGTTTAGGGTTTAGGGCTTAGGGCTTAGGGTTTAGGGTTTAGGGTTTAGGGTTTAGGGTTTAGGGTTTAGGGTTTAGGGCTTAGGAGGATTCAAGGAGGGCCTTGGGAACCCACAAAACTCCTTGGGTCTCTGAGTTTGGGTTTCGAGTAGGGGCTTGGGACTCATGGCGCCATGTGTGGGGGGGTTTAGGGTTTAGGGTTTAGGGTTTAGGGTTTAGGGTTTAGGGTTTAGGGTTTAGGGTTTAGGGTTTAGGGTACCAAGAATTCTATGGTCCCAACGAAAACATCAAGCCGCCGTCTTTGCAAAGAATTGGACTGGACGCTGTGTGGGCAAGCACATGCGGCTGGGTTCAGGGCCAAACAGCCATGCTGTGCCACAACATGCTAGTCAATCCCTAAACCCTAAAACCCTAACCCCTAAACACTAAACCCTAAACCCTAAACCGCTCAAGTGGCCTGTGGCCAGAGTCGTCTGCCACACTGAAATCTTGCAGCTGGACCAGCTCGGACCCCACCCTTTAGTCCCTCTATCATACCTCAGCATAGCCCCTCATACATTCCCCCTAAGGTCCCTTATACCCTATATAGTCCTGACCCCTGCATTACCCCTAAGTTTAGTCGTATATACCCAAGAAGTTCCCTACATTCCCCCTAAGGTCCCTGCCACGGGTCCTGTAGCCCTTGCAATTGCCTAGGGTTTAGGGTTTAGGGTTTAGGGTTTAGGGTTTAGGGTTTAGGGTTTAGGGTTTAGGGTTTAGGGTTTAGGGTTTAGGGTTTAGGGCTGTTCTTTTGGGGCGCTCGGGCTTCCGGTTTCCCTGTGAGTGGGCCGGTCCCCACACACCACGAAGCCAGCTGCAATGCGAGAGTTCCTGCGCGTGCTAAACCCTAAACCCTAAACCCCAAACCCTAAACCCTCAACCCTAAACCCCAAACCCTAAACCCTAAACCCTAAACCCTAAACCCTAATTAAGCCCCAAGCCCTAAACCCTAAACCCTAAACCCTAAGCCCCAAGCCCTAAACCCTAAACCCTGAACCCTAAACCCTGAACCCTAAACCCTAAACCCTAAACCCTAAACCCCAAACCCTAAACCCTAAACCCACAAGCCCTTAGCCCTAAGTATCCTGGGGGCTCGGCAGAAGGCGCAACCAGCCACCTGCCCGATAGTCAGGGTTCAGACCGAACCCCAGGAGGCCACACGAGGGGGTTTAGGGTTTAGGGTTTAGGGTTTAGGGTTTAGGGTTTGGGGTTTGGGGTTTGGGGTTTGGGGTTTAGGGTTTAGGGTAGTTTAGGGTTTAGGGTTTAGGGTTGGGGACGGTTCTTGGGAGGGTAAACCCTCTATCAACCTCCAATAAGGCCAAATAAGAACAACATCAGCTACGTGCCATCGCAACTCGATGCCCTCATCCCTGAACCCGACACACCAACCCAAACCCTAAACCCTAAACTCCAAACGCTATAACCCCCCCATCCCTCTCCCAAATAAGTGCACCTGTGATTGGCAAGGGTGGGCCACGACCGTCTTTTTAGTTTAGGGCTGGGGGGGTTTAGGCAAACTGGCCCTTGCAGTGGAAGGCTAGGCATTTTAAGTTTAAGAGTTTAAGGATTTCCGATTTAAGGATGTCGGGTTTGGGGTTTATAGGGTTAGGGAGTCCAAACTCGAGTCTTAATACTGCTTCCAAACCTTAAGCGGACAAATCTTGCAGAGCTGGACCTTGTTTCGTGTAGCAGATGTGGCACTTTCGGCGTGGGTGTATCTAAACCTTGTATGGTTACCCACCCCCCCCCCCCCTCGTGGGGGAGTTTAAGGACTGCCAACGAGGCTATGTCCCCTCTATTTCCCACAAGCTGCACATTCAAGATCTAGCTGGGCGCTGCCACTCGTGCAACGTTCAGGGCCTTTAGAACACGCAATAGCACACATGTCAGTGTAGACCCTAAACCCAAAACCCTGAACCCCAAACCCTGAACTCTAAACTCTAAACCATAACGGTCCTAACGTAGGCATGCTCCACCCCGACATGCCCATGGACTGGTGATCGTTGAGGCCATTGAAGTTCCAGCTTGATCTGAAGCCGAACCTGTCGCCCACTTCTGTCTGCAGGAGTCTGAAACGTTTTGTTTTTATAATATTTTTTCTTGGGGGGGGGGGGGGGGGGGGGGGGGGGGGTGAGGGTTTAGGGTTTAGGGCTTAGGGTTCAAGAATCAGGGTTTAGGGTTTAGGTTAGGGCACAAAAAAGGCGCCTTCAACGAAACAAAGTACTGCCAGAGCAAACAAAGAGCAGAAACCCAAAGCGCTCAACCCCCACCCTGAAGAAGCACCCGAAACCCTCAACCCTAACTAAATCCTGAAACGAACCCTAAAGCGTAAACCCCGAACCCCAAACCCTAAACCCTAAACCCTAAACCCCAAACCCTAAACCCCAAACCCTAAACCCCAAACCCTAAACCGCGAACCCCAAACCCTAAACCAAACCCCAAACCCTAAACCCTAAACCCCAAACCCCGAACCCCAAACCCTAAACCCTAAACCCCAAACCCTAAACCCCAAACCCTAAACCCTAAATCCTAAACCCTAAACCCCAAACCCTAAACCCCAAACCCTAAACCCTAAACCCTAAACCCTAAACCCCAAACCCCAAACCCTAAACCCTAAACCCCAAACCCTAAACCCTAAACCCTAAACCCCAAACCCCAAGTCGGACCCTTTCCTTGACTGACCGCCTCGCCCGCGGTCCCTGCGCCCGGCTTGCCCTCGACCGGGTTATGGCTCCTGAAAGCCCCATCCTGACAGCGCCAACGGAAGTCTCAAGGGGAGGGCGTAGCGTTTAGGGTTTAGGGTTTGGGGTTTAGGGTTCTTCATGTGGCCCCTTGCCTTCGTTCAAGGGTCCTGAAGTATGGGGTGCCCACAATTAGGGTTGAGGGTTTAGGGTTTAGGGTTTAGGGTTTAGGGTTTAGGGTTTAGGGTTTAGGGTTCAGGGACCAACTACCCGAAGAGGAAGGTATCGGGTTCAGGGATTGAGGTTTACTGGGGTGAGTGGGCTTCGGGTTGAAATTCTAACCCTTAGGGTTTAGGGTTTAGGGTTTAGGGCTTAGGGCTTAGGGCCTTAGGGTTTAGGGCTTCGGGTTTGGGGTTGAGGGTTGAGGGTTTCAGGGTGTGGGCCCTGCAGAAATCAACTTTTTGTTGTCGGTCAATTTTGGATATAGTTGGAGTAGGGCCCGTAGAAATTCGACAGCTATTGTTTGTGTTCATTCATTGCGTCTGTTGTTTTGCTTGTTTTTTTGTGCCGGGGGGGGGAGGGGGGGAGGGATAATGCCGGGGCCCTCCGCCCTAAACCCTAAACACCCTGCCCCCAACACGCCCTCAGTCCCAAAAAACGCTGAAACCCACAAGGTCTTAGACCCCGAAAGTCGTAATGACCCCCAAACCCAAAAATCCAGGGTTTAGGGTTTAGGGTGTCGGGTTTAGGACCCCAAACCCTGAAGCCCTGAGCCTCCTGAAAACCCCAAGAGCCCCTAAACCCTAAACCCTAAACCCTCAACCCTAAACCCTAAAACCCTTAAACCCTGAAACCCTAAACCCTAAAACCCTCAAACCCTGAAACCCTAAACCCTTAAACCCTGAAACCCTAAACCCTAAACCTCAACCCTAAACCCTTAAACCCTGAAACCCTGAAACCCTAAACCCTAAACCCTAAACCCTCAACCCTAAACCCTAAACCCTAAACCCTAAACCCTAGCAACGGCCACAGACCTGGAATCCCTCTCAACCCGCAGCTTCCAGGGGAGGGGGGAAGTGGTGGCAGAGGGGGGTTCTCCTTTATCTATATAGCATGATACTACTTTGCATTGGGTTTAGGGTTTAGGATTTGGGGTTTAGGGTTTAGGGTTTAGGGTTTAGGGTTTAGGGTTTAGGGTTTAGGGTTTAGGGTTTAGGGTTTAGGCTTTAGGTTTTAGGGTTTAGGGTGCAGGGTGTAGGGGTTAGGGTTTAGGGTTTAGGGTTTAGGGTTCGGGTTCCTAACTAAGAGGGCCCATGACACAGCTCCCCAGAAAGTGGCTCGAACTTCGGGAAACTATCACACGCCTCAAAATCTCAAGCCCTAGTCTGAAACCCAAGAGCCTCGTCCCTTAAACCCCGAAAACCCCTCCGGTCCAAGACCCCCCCTAAAGCCTCAAAACTGCCTAAGTCCCAATTAAATCCCAAGCCTAAGCCCTAAACCCTCAGCCTGAAAAACCAAACCCTCAACCCGAAACCCTGCACCCAAATCCAAAACCCCAAATCCAAAACCCTAAACCCCAAACCCTAAACCCTACACCCTGAACCCTAAACCCTGAACCCTGAACCCCAAACCCTAAGCAGCTTGCAGGCGCGCGGCCGGGGGCCCCAGGAGAAGCTGCTCCAACTTGAAGTTGCGACTCCAGGGCGCGCCTGGTGGGTTTAGGGTTTAGGGTTTAGGGTTTAGGGTTTAGGGTTTAGGGTTTAGGGTTTAGGGTTTAGGGTTCCGGGTTCCGGGTTTAGGGATGCGAATGGTGGTAATTATACTGATAAGGGCGCGCGTAACAAGAATCCCAACCACGGCGCAAAGACCTCTTCCTATGTCTATTGCTAGTGTTGAAATTCGTATTCTTCAGGGTTTAGGGTTTAGGGTTTAAGGTTTACTGTAGGGTTTAGGGTTTAGCATTTAGGGTTAAGGGTTAAGGGCTGATGTTGGAGGGTGTAGGGTCCAAGGCACGACACCCCCCCCCCCCCACAACGCAACGTAGACACCCTAAACCCTAAAGCAGAACCCAGCACGGGAAACAAGGGGAGCAACGTGGTTTCCTGTAGAAAACCAGCCTCCCAAACCCCCGCCAGCCTGAACCCTTCATCGTACTTGTCCTTAGTTCCTTAGAGGGAATTTGGAGGGTACCTAATTTAACTCCTTCATTCCGACCTAGAACCAGTACGACACAAGGCACACCAGTCAACAATTCCCCAATTTTGTGATTCCCAGGGTTCTAGATCTTAGATGTCAGGACTAGGGGAGAGTATCAAACAAAGATGCCGGCCCCTCACGCATGTTTAAAGCCTAATCCCCAAGCCCAAGCCCTAAACTCCAAAGACCTAAACAACGAACCCGAAACTCTGCAAGTCTAATACCCTAAAACCCTAAAACCCTGAAACCCCTAGATCCCTAATACCCTTAATTTCTCAAACCCTAAACCCTACATCCCGAAAATAATGTAAAACCCTACTACCCTAAATCCCTAAAGACCCAAAACCCCTGAAACCCTAGAAAACCCTTAAAAAAAAAAACCAAACAACCCTAAACCGCCGCACGTTGCACCTCTCCGTCTGCTGGGTCGAACAGACAGTTGGTCCCGAACGTCCAGGTTCGCAGGCAGCGGTGCGGCGCCCAACGGCGGTATCTAGCGGGTCTAGGGTTTAGGGTTCAGGGTTTGAGGGTTGGGGTTTGGGTTTAGGGTTTGGGGTTTGGGGTTTGGGGTTTGGGGTTTGGGGTTTGGGGTTTGGGGTTTAAGGTTTAGGGACCCTAAACTCAGGAGGGGTTCAGGGTATAGGGACCCTAAACTCTAACCTCCGAAACCTGAACCCTGGATGCTTGGTGTCCAAGCTCCGTCTCTTCTTGGGTCCTTTCGCGGGGCCTCCTGACATGCAGGATTAGTGGAGAGTACAGTGTAGGGCTTAGGGTTTTGCAGGTTAGGGCTTACCCCTAAACCCTATCAACCCTAAACCCTAAGGCTATAGGGCTTAACAGTTTTTTATGAGCGCTCGAGATTTTTGGGTGTAGGGCTCCGGGTACCCTAAACCCTAAACCCTAAACCCGAAACCCTAAACCCTAAACCCTAAACCCTAAACCCTAAACCCTAAACCCTAAACCCTAAAACCCTAAAACCCTAAAACCCTAAACCCTAAACCCTAAACCCTAAACCCTAAACCCTAAACCCTGAACCCTAAATCCTAAACCCTAAACCCTGAACCCTAAACCCTAAACATTGCGCGCGGGATGATACGCAGCGGATGCCTCGTCCGGAAGCTCCTGCGAACTTTCGGTTTGGGTTAAGGGTTTGGGGTTTACAGGGCCGAGGGTTTAGGGTTTAGGGTTTAGGGTTTAGGGTTTAGGGTTTAGGGTTTAGGGTTTAGGGCAACTTGAAAGTTCATGGGTAGTTCTCTGCTAAGCGAGCTCCCCTTACATGAGCGTCTCACCAACCTGAGGCCCGAAACCCCCAAAGCCCTAAACGCCTAAACGCCTAAACCCCTAAACCCCTAAACCCCTAAACCTCTAAACCCCTAACCCCCAAAGCCCTAAACCCCTAAACGCGTAAACGCCTAAAGCCCCTAAAGCCCTAAAGCCCTAAGCCCCTAAACCCCTAAACCCCTAAACCCCTAGACTCCTAAACCCCTCACACCCGACGTATCACACCAGGCTTACAAGCGCAGACCTCCAGGTTGAACTCAAGCTCTCAGAGGCGGAAAAAAATGGGCTTTCGGGGGGTTTCAGGGTTTAGGCGTAGGACGGGGGAGGATGGTTTTAGGGTTTAGGGTTTAGGGTTTAGGGACTAGGGTTTAGGGTTTAGGGTCCCCAGCTGCTCTACCTGCTCTACTCGGTGGCTTAATCTTGAAGCTCTGTTCCAGGGTCCTTCAGGGAGGGCTTAGGGTATGTAACCCAAGGTTCCTAGTAGGATTCCTCGTAGTCCCCACTAATCCCCAAAGGCTCCCTAAGCTTCCCGAAAGGTTCCCTAGGTACCCTGAAGCCTAAACCCTAAACCCCTAAACCGACCCTATGACTCTGCTCCATTCAGCCTTCAACCAACCAAAGACCAACGGAAAGACCTTGAGCCAGTTGAACCTTTCATGGGGTTTAGGGTTTAGGGTTTAGGGTTTAGGGTTTGGGGTTAGGGTTTAGTGTTTTAGGGTTTAGGATGTAGGGTTCTACTTATCCTGAAGCCGCTATTCCGACATGGGTGCCCTACCCCCAGAGCAGTCCGTGGCACTGAGCCTCAGTTGGACCTCAGAAGAGGATTGGGGGTGTTGGATTGGGGACGAGGGCTTGAACCCTAAGCCCGAAACCCTCAACCCTAAACCCTAAATCCTAAACCCTGACCCCTAAAACCCAACTCTAAAATCCTAAAACTCCAGATCCCCGGCTTCAGGGAACTGGTTTAAGGTTTGGGGTTTAGGGTCGAACTTTGTTCTCAAAGCGGGGTGTAGAGCAAAATCCAAAAGAAACTCTCGACCCTAGAGTCTAGGGCCTAGGGTTTCTTCTGGAGTTTGTTCCACACCCTGCTTTGAGAATATGGTGTTTGGTGCTAACTATTCTCCCCTTAGAACCTTCACAAAATAGTTCTTTGTTTTTTTTATAATACTCCCTTCGGCTATATATAAATGCAAAAAAAGATTCCTAAGGGGGCTATAGCTGACGTCGAAAGACTCTGGGCCATGAATTTTGTTACGGTGCAGCTTCGCGTGTTTCCGAAGAAAGCGAAGGCTACCCTGGTCACGCAGAGCCCGCGAACACCATGGTGCGGCAAGGGCAGACAGCTTGAAACGTGTCAGGGAAGTGCTTGTCAGATCTCGAAGCGCCGGGACAGGTGCCACCCCACGAGGTCGAAGATGCGCTCGTTCCCAGTGATAGCATCTGTGTCGATGCATGGGCGAGCCTCACCAATGGTCTCCATCTCAGTTGAGGCAGTACCGGATTGGCCCCTCAGACCCACTATCTATAGAAATATTTCTTTAAAAATATTGGCAATTACGTGCCTTCTATCCCTGTACATACCCTAAACCCTAAACCCAAAACCCTCAAAACCCTGTATACACCTTAACCCCTATGCCCAAAAAGCCCTAGATCCGAAATGCCCTAAACCCTGAACCCTAAACCCTAAACCCTCTCTGGCCGGGCGGCTGGGACGCTGAGCTGGTTCACCACGTGCACTGGAGACTCCAGCAAAAGCAACTTGTAGGCCTGATATTTGGGGCTTTGGAGGTCGGCCTAAGGGTTTAGGGTTTAGGGTTTAGGGTTTAGGGTTTAGGGTTTAGGGTTAAGGTAGTTTAGACTGTAGGCCAGGCCCTCACGCCACCCCATTTGTAGTTCCTTTTGGGGGGGGGAACGAATATACCTATCAGGATAGGAATGCCTTCTAAGCCCTCCCCCAGGAGGAGCAACAATAATTCAGGGTAGAGGTTCTGTGTGGAACTTTCATCAGTGTGCCTTTAGAAGTCCAAGTTTGTTGTTGCGGGCTGAGATCTTCAAACTTAAAGGTATAGGGTTTGGGGTTTAGGGTTTTGGTTTGGGGCTTAAGGCTACTTAAAGCCCTAAAACTCACCTCCAACAAAACTTTCATTCGGGAGGCGTTCTGGGTCCTAAGCCCTAAACCCTAAACCTAAATACTTAGAGGGCCCACTATCATCGGCAACCATTTTGAGAAAGGGACCTCCATTTTTTTAGGGTAAGTCAGGGTTGATGGATTGCAGGCTCCCCCTATGTGACCCTTAAAGGGACTTCATAGGGTACCTACTTCCACAGTTGCTACCAAGACTCAGCTTAGGTTTTGGGGTGGACAGCCTCGTATCTCCAGCTTTGTGCCTTGCGCTTGCATCTCAGGACAAACCCTAAACCCTAAACCCTAAACCCTAAACCCTAAACCCTAAACCCTAAACCCTAACTCCCCGTCCAAAACAAATCCCTATTGGGTCGGGCCTCTCTGGGGATCGTTTTAGGGCTTAGGTTAAGATCTTCCCCCTTTTATTTTAACAGTCCTTCTATAGTCCCTATCAAGGACTGTTAGTCTTGGTAGCCCAGCAACTATATTATAATAAGTGCACCTTTTTTTTGGGGTGGTTATTTTTTAAGGGAGCCCATGACCCAAAAAAGGAAGGGGTAAAGGGTACCACTGGGCTACCAAGTAGTATAAGGGGGGACACAGCCCAAGGTTTAGGTTAAGATCTTCCCCCTTTTATTATAACAGTCCTTCTAGAGTCCCTCTGAAAGCACTGTTAGTATAAGGGGGGCACATCCCAAGGTTTAGGGCCCGAAGGATGATTGAAGGAAACCTTCTCTTAAAACACCGGGCGGCTCTCCTGGAACTCTTGCGGGCTCAGCCCTAAGCCTTCGGCTGTTCTCCCTGAGGAACTTTAGGTTGTTAGGGTAAAATAAGGGTAGATTTCCACCCCAAAACCCTGGTGCCCTAAGTAAGAACTAGGTCCCTCACCCCGAAACCCCTAAGCCCTGAGAATCCTCAAGCCCTCAAGGGTCGGTAAACCTCCCAACCTCCCATGCCTGTTTTGGGGTCGCCGAGCCCTCAACGCAGCAAACCCTGTGCCGCGCCGATTCTTTGGGTCTTCGGGCCCCTAAATTCCTAAACCCTAGACCCTAAACCAAAACCCTAAACCCTAAACCCTAAACCCTAAACCAGCTTTTGGGGCTTCGGGTTGCGGGTTGTCTTCCCTGACCTCCTTCGCACGGACCCGGGCCACAAGGTAAGGCAGCGGCAGGCAGCCTGGTGAGTGGGGTTTAGGGTTTAGGGTTTAGGGTCTAGGGTTTAGGGTTTAGGGTTTAGGGTTTAGGGTTTAGGGTTCCGGGTTTAGGGTTTAGGGTTTAGGGTTAGAGTGGCTTCGAGCGCGCATTCCAAACCCTCAAGGAGCTGAGGGCTTAGGGCTAGGCTGAGAGATTGAAGGCTTGAGGGCTTCGGTTCAGGGTTTGAGGCTTTAGGGTTTAAGGGTTTCAAGGGTTTTAGAGTCTTAAGAGTTTCAAGGGTTTAAGGTGAAGAGGCGTGGCCTGGGTCATCAGCACACAGTAGTATGGAGACGTGCTCACCCGTCTACCGCAGAAACACAACCACTATCAGAAAAACAAGCTCGCACCCTGCATCCTTCCCAGAGCGGTTTGCGTAACAGGACCTCTACGCCAGCCTAACCCCCCAAATCCAGTAAGGGCTTACTCTGGATGCTAGTCCCAGCCTTTCGGTATTGGTCAGGCTCTATCACATGGATCTATACTCCTATACAAATTATGCTCCAAGTAACACCCTAGATCCCAAACCAAGATCCCTAAACCCTAAACCCAAAATCCCTACAACCTAAGGAAGCCCAGCTAGAACTAGCCATGAACCTCCAAGTCAATCTGCGGGATCCCTGTGCTAACCTGACCACCTCATCCCTAACCCTAGACCTTAAACCCTACACCCCAAACCCTCAACTAATCCCTACAAACCCTAGACCCCTAAACCTAAACCCTAATTTCAGCTCTAAACCAAAACCATTCTTGAAGAGCCCCACGAACATGGATTGAAACAAGAGCCCTGCGACCCCACTTAATATAGGGTTCGGAAAAAAATTGGTCCCTTTTGTAAGTATACTACAATACCCCCCCTCAAACCCTTTTCAAATTATTCAGGCCCCTATAAACCCTAAACCCTAAACCATAATCCCCACCCCGGTTCATGACCCCGGCACCTGCATCGGCTGCATCTCCGCCGCCCCTTCCGGTTTCAGAGCTGAGGGTGATTGCGGTCTAGGGTTGAAGGTTTAGGGTTCGGGGTTTAGGGTTTAGGGGCTACATGGAGGTTCATGGATTGCTATAACAGGGGTTATGAGTAGCATAGCTGCTACGGCTAGAACACTTATTGGGTAAACCCTGCCCTAAACCCTAAACCCTAAACCCAAAACCCAAAACCCTAAACCCTAAACCCTAAGCCCTAAACCCTAACTCTGCGGTCCATCTGCACCACGCAAACACTGCAGACAGTTTAAGTGGATACCTATGGGGTTCCCTTAGTATGGGCCCTGAAAAAGGTACCCCTTTTCTAACACATATACCCCTTATGTACCCATACAGAGTAAGGGCCCTTACGTCAGAACCCTTTGAAGAGGGTAAGGGACCACATTCAGGGCCCATGAAACTACTCTTAGATAAAACTTAAAACCCCCCAATAAACACCTGCCAACCCCATCCAATAAGCCCTAAAAACCCTGAAACCGTTCATGCTTTCGGACGTTCGCCTCCTCCCGGAAGCGCATGAAGACATCACGCTCGATATCCAGAACTCTCATCATAGAGATACTTTAGGGTTTAGGGTTTAGGGTTTAGGGTTTAGGGTTTAGGGTTTAGTTTAGGGTTTAGGGTTTAGGGTTTAGAGTTTAGGGTTCAGGGTTTAGGTTTTAGGGTTTAGGGTCCCACCTCACCCACACGTGGGGCGCGCCAAAAATCTAGTCTGCTACTTGAGGTATCACTATGGGCACCCTGTTTGGTGGCGCGGCAACAAACACCAAACCACTAACTCCTAGACCTCCCCGAGCCCTAAACCCTAAACCCTAAACCCTAAACCCTAAACCCTAAACCCTAAACCCTAAACCCTAAACCCTAAACCCTAAACCCTAAACCCTAAACCCTAAACCCTAAACCCTAAACCCTGCCTTGACAGCCTGGGTTGACTGGCGGCCCGGGTCATGTGCTCCTGAAGCGGCCCCGTGCTCCCAAAACCCTCAAACCCTGACACATCCTTTAGAGTTTTACGGTTTACGGTTTACGGTTTAGGGTTTAGGGTTTAGGGTTTGGGGTTTAGGGTTTGGGGTTTAGGGTTTAGGGTTTAGGGAAATGTTACAAGTTAAACCCCAAACCTCTGGGGCTTAACCTTTCCGGGGTTAGGGTTCAGGGCTAGGATTTAGGGAAGATTTAGGGTTTAGGGTTTAGGATTTCGGGTCCCTGAGACGTGTTTCGGAGTTTGGCGAGCAGGGGTTACGAGTCAAACCCCAAAACCAGCAAGCAGTATGTCTTTTAGGACACACACACACACACACGCACACTTACCCCAAAGCTTCGAAACCCCGAAAGTTCCGAGATTAGGCCTTGGGGTTGAGGGTTTAGGGTGGTAGAGAATAGAGAAACCCTAAACCCTAAACCCTAAAACTGTCAATAACCCCACGTCGAGCTGAGCTAGTCAGCAGACAAACCCTGCAGACAACAACTCCCACAAAAAGATGTCCCCCTTGAAGTGCCCGTATAGACTTATAGGGAAGCGAACTCCCTAAACCCTAAACCCGAAACCCAAAACCCTAAACCCTAAACCCTAAATCCCAGAGATCGAGGGTTTAGGGTTTAGGGTTTAGGGTTTAGGGTTTAGGGTTTAGGGTTTAGGGTTTAGGGTTTAGGGTTTAGGGTTTAGGGACAGAGATCGAGAACGAGTAGGCCAGAGTTTTCATGCATCCCGGAGAGCTGTCCTTGGACAAGCGACTTGAAAGGCGCGCCTCTCGTGCGGCTAAGGGTTTAGGGTTTAGGGTTTAGGGTTTAGGGTTTAGGGTTTAGGGTTTAGGGTTTAGGGTTTAGGGTTTAGGGTTTAGGGTTTAGGGTTTAGGGTTTAGGTTTAGGGCTTAGGGTTTCGGGGTTACGGTTTAGGTTTAGGGATTGTTGTTTGGAGTTGTTTTGGGAGGGTTGGCGTTTGGGAAAAATGCTGTTAGGGTTTGTGGATGTAGGGCAGGGATGTCTCCGTTTGTGGCATCGTCATCACTGCCGTCGTAGTTGCAGTAACAGTGCAGCCGTAAACCCTAAACCCTAAACCCTAAACCCTAAAAAGGACCACGATGATGGAAGAAACAATTTGCTATGCTTACGGAGGTGGCAATACTAGCTAACGCGTGTAGCAGCTGCAGAAGCCGGCTAAGCCAGGTACTGGCTGGATCTTAGTAGGGAATGAGGGAATGAGGGCCCTATATTTTTCCTTAAAGGGTATATATATATATGTATATATAGGGGCCTCATTCCCTCATTCCCTACAAAGGAACCAGGGGTAATAGTAAGGGAAGAAGTTGGGCGTGTTCGCCGTAGTACTCGTTGTCAGAGTCTGGTCAATACTTGAAGGTTCATGGTACTTACTAACCACTCATAACTGTACTTATAACCCTACTTATAATACCCCTAAAGGGCCTTATAGGGGGTATCCCAATTATAAGTAGGGTTATAAGCCCAGTTATAAGTGGTTCTTAAGTCCCATGAACCTCCAAGTAGCACATTGGCAGCACCTAAACACAAAACCCTAAACCCTAAACCCTAAACCCTAAACCCTAAACCCTAAACCCTAAACCCTAAACCCTAAACCCCTCTCATGGGAGGGAGACAGGCCGCACACACGGATGAAAGTCTTTAGGCGCGTTTTTGCTACTTTAAGTATCTTGGGACTGCCTCTAGGCCTCTAGAGTGTAGGGTTTAGGGCTGAAGGCGTAGGGAGCGCAGGGTTCAGGGTTGAAAGCGGGTTTACGGTGCAGCCGTGGATTTACGCACAAGGCCGAAGAGACCTGTAAACTCAGAACTGAAACTTCGGCGAGGCTTCTCAAGCCAAAACCTGAACCCTCCCGCCCCTTCCCTCCAACTCACACCCGAAACCCAAAAAATGTCAACCCATAAACAACATATACCCTTCAAACCATCAAAACCCTATAAAACCTATCAACCCTATCAATTCAACCCTATCAACCCCTATAGACCCGAAACCCTAGAAACTTGTAACCTTAGACCTTGATCTCTCAACCTCCACACCTGGCCCTTGGACCCTCAACACATTACGCCCAGAGAGCCTAAACCCTAAACAACCCCCAAACCCAAAAATAGCCCTAAACCCTACACCCGAAACCCTAACCCGAAGCCCTAAACCCTAAACCCTAAACCCGAAACCCTAAACCCTAAACCTTAAAACCCTAAACCCTAAAAACTATTCGCAGTTGACCCAAAACCCTAAACCCTAAACCCTAAACCCTAAACCCTAAACCCTAAACCCTAAACCCTAATTGAGCCAGGGCTCCCCCGCATTCTGCTGCTCCACGAGCCCCGCCAGCATGGCCTTGCTTGGAGGACCATGGTACTTACTAACCAACTATAAGTGTACTTACGTACAACTGAAGGTTTAGGGTTTAGGGTTTAGGGTTTAGGGTTTAGGGTTTAGGGTTTAGGGTTTAGGGTTTAGGGTTTAGGGTTTAGGGTTTAGGGTTTAGGGTTTAGGGTTTAGGGTTTAGGGTTTAGGGTTTAGGGTTTAGGGTTTAGGGCCGCACTTCAATTGACTCACAGGAGGCTGGGGGGGCGAGGGAAGCCTCCTTGTGAAGGGTTTAGGGTTTAGGGTTTTAAGGTTTAGGGTTTAGGGTTT